GATTGTGGGGAGGAATATGTACATACCAGCCGGTTGATTGACCTACTTATATGTTTCAAAAGTACACAATCGGAAAAGGGATTCACGGTAAGAAGAAATACTCCCAGAACTATAAAAGGCATTGCTTTGGAGGTACATGAAACCGGCGTCTTATCTTCTTACTCTGGAAGTAGGTCAAACATAATGCGGACTCACAAATAGTGAGTTGCTGTGATTTATGCCCTTGCGCACCCGTAACGACCTGTAGACAACGTTGTGAGAACAATCGATCTTCTCTCGGGGAATTCGGTCACTGGTTCTATAAATACATCCACGGCACCTTTTGCGTAGGACGGAAGAGGTTTTGTTTACCTCTCAGCTTTCACCTTTATATCCCCTTCTCACCCTGCTCCCCTTTCACTCCTTCTAAGGGGTCATAAATCTTCGCTGTAAAGATGAATTTGTTCGACGTAGGTAACAAAGGCAAGCAACAATAATTCCTCTACTTATATGTGTATATATATATATATATATTTTGGCATGTAACCCCGTTCCTAGGCGACGACCGCGAAATTAGCAGAATACAACAGCTGTTGTTAGGTAATAGACGCAATAGAAGCGAAAGCAAAAATGGAGGAACTGTTGGAGGCGGTGTTTTCTGTGCGGTCCGTTCAGAGGCTATGTAACGTGGAGCAGCTGCGATTACGAGAGAATACTGACAATGGACTTGCTAATACGGACTATGACTGACAAATAATAGACCCGACCTCTCGTCAGAGAGGGCGCCCCAAATGGACAGGACAGTAACTTTCATATAAGAAAAAAAAAAAGAAAAAAAATCTGGTCATGAGCCCCAGCTGGGGCTCGACACCAAGACAGACAGATTGACTGTCAGTCGCAATGTGACTTGGACTTGGACAGACTCCACCGTGACCCTGCGAGTCGTAGGAGGTGACGAAAAGGGAAGTCTCAATTCTGAGACAGTAAAATATGGTCGCGAGGCCCAAGGGACTCGGATCCGAGAAAGACTGCGCTGGCAAGGGCCAGAAGCATATATAAAAGACAGACCCGTCCTCTCGTCAGAGAAGGCGCCCCACAGAAACAAGACCGTAACTGTCAAACGGTAAAAATTAATATCTGGTCATGAGCTCCAGATGGGGTTCGACACCACGACTTGCTGACTGACCGTCAGTCGCAATGTGACTTTGACTTTGACTTGTTTACGAGAGAGTCTTGAGAAGAGTAGGAGGTTGGTGTGAGATGGCCGCCAGCCTGGAAGTTAGTCGGTTGAAGCAATGAGTTATTTGTGAGACAGACGCCGGCCATTAAGGACGTGAACATGTAAGTGCTGGAAACCGTTACCAGGCGACAACCGGCGTAAATTCGGCAAACTTAGAAAATTTCCTACGTGCTGTAGTGGATTGCAGAGTGTGTGAATTAGCGTTAGTGCTATAGTTGCTTGTAGTTACGATCTGTAAGTGTTCACTAAATACAATTACCAATTCAAACCCAGTCTACAGTCACATTCCGCGCACATGACAATATTTAAATTTTATTGTAACGTCCTCCCTTCGTCGGTTGAACAAGCTCGTGCGAACTCCGACGGAGGCTCCATTTGACGGCTTGACGGTGACCCAAATAGAACTTCCTCTCCGCGTTAGTTAAAGTATGGTTGCGGTATCCTCAATGAAGATGCCGCTTAATGGCTTGACTACGGACCAAAATGTAACATCCTCTCCGGGTCAGTTGCAACAAGTTTGCGGGAATGTTAATGAGATGTAACTAGAAGGCTTGCCAGTGGTCATAGGGACGCTCATTCGCGCGTGAACTTTGCTAGTGAAGAATGCCGTCTTTTGGGATGTGGTTCCGTGTGGGTATTAAGTTAACCGACGTTTTGGAGGAACTTATCGCCTCCATCTTCAGGGTATAAGAAATGCGCGAGCGATGAACCAGCCAGCGTGAGCAGGTAGGTCGCAGAGGCTGCAGCCACCTGCTCACGCTGGTCCTAGCCGAGATAAAGTAACAAGGACCAGCGAAGAAATAAACAAGGTGTACAGACCCATAGTGACCAGGACGCCGTGACAGCGCGGACGTACTCTTGCTGAAACTACGACGCAACAAACGCAGCCTCTACACAGAAAGACCAACCCCTCTCTCATTTAAGAGGAGGCCCAATTTCTAAATACGTACATGTCTGGGAGCGAACAAAAATCTTTGTCAGGAATTTCGAGAAAAATGAAGCCAGGAATGGCTGTGCTGACGAAGGCCAGCAACAATCTAACCGACCGACCAAATGAGTTAGTTGTGAGATGGTAGCCAGGCAGCAACAACGTAAATGTGAGAGCAGGAGTATTTCCACTACTGAGAACCGTAACCGAGCAACGACTAGTGAAAACATAACAGACTAAGACCCAGCGTGTGCTGTAGTGATTTTTTAATTGTTTTGATTAATAATAGTGTTACAGTTACCTGTAGTTCAGAGTCCAATAAATTCAGTTACCAATCCAATTCCCGTGTATGGTGACTAACCCGTGAGAATATGATTTTATTCCAATTAAAAAGGAGCGAAGAGCATAGTCACGCAGAAGTGTGATAAATATAATTGTATCAGTTTTTAGTTTGTTGTTTTGTCCTTCGCTGAGAAGTCGGATTGTGCAACTCACTCCTCACCATCGAATGGTTTGTCCGCTATTGAGGACAGACTGTGCACTTAACTTTAACAGTAGTGTAAAATATTAGAATATTTATCATTAATCACAAGTTAGCTCCTGGTCTATGAACAACCACATTCTAAAACCGTCCTCTCTCATACTTCCTTACGGGTGACTTGACTGACGAGCGTCATTACCAATTCTCGAACGTCGCAGTTGATTTCGCGTCAGTTCAGTAAAACTGACACTTCACAATCTTTCGGAGTACTGTATAACGGACTATTAGGAGAGCTGAGAACATGCAACAGTGCATGGAATGGAAGAAAGCTGTTACGTTTAGCGAACATATCTTCGATAATACAAACAAGGAATACAATATTAATGAGTCTTAATGAAATTTCCATCTTAATAAGTGATAGCGTCCTCTTCGGACCAAGTCTCGAAAGTTCTTCACGGGTTCGAACACTGGGATCTGAGTTTGAATACCAATCGAGGCATGGATGCCTGTCTGTGTTTGTGTTTTCCTGTGTAGGTAGCAACATTGCGACAGGGTTAATCGCCCGTCCAATGAGCCATATCAAATGTCTATAAGACTCATTAGTTGAGAATTAATTAATTGTGAATGAGATAAGGCCAGAGGGTCTACTCCGTCAAGGTCGAAAAAGAAGAAAACGAAGTTACGAATCACTTTCATTGCCGTCTTATAGAAGAAATTTAATTGAATCTGACTTCGTATGGATGCCACGTATTGTAGGAGTCCATAAACCGCTTAGTTCCGTCTCAGTGTTAAATACACTATAATTAAGTAAAGAATGCTTCCATTGTCCTTCTGTGGCATTATTACATGCTGCTTATATTGATTGATGCATTTTATTTTTAATTTTTGGTCATATTGTCTTTATATACAGAATGTTCCAGGAGGAAAGACCAGTATTCTGGGAGGTCATAGCATCTGTCATTTGAAGCAAGAAAGTGTATATGCACACGTGTCCTATCCCGAACGGTTTCCTATGTAGAGCTGTTTCACTGTACAGTTCCAAACCTGTTGATATGAAAGAGAGATTACGTACTGTTTCTAATACCGGTATTTATTGTTCAAGTGACAAAGTTGGTAGGGTTTTTTTTTTGGCACTACAGCCCCAGTGGGCCTATCTCCATGAACTTCTCCGTTCACTTCGGTTTTTCTAGATCTTACACATTCGGTAGGACTCCTTGGGCGGGTGATCAGCTCGTCACAAGGCCTCTACCTGTACACAAACACAGAAAAACGCACACACACAAACTAAACATCCATGCCCTGAGTGGATTCGAACCCACGATCCCGGCTTCCAAGCGAGCGAAGCCAGAACATGCCTTAGACCGCTCGGCTACCGTGACCGGCGTTGGTATGGTTTACTTAGCATAATACATTTTAGAAAATTCCACCGTCAACATCAATGCACTTCGCAAGTCAAATGAGGACATGGCGTGTTGCTCGTCTGTACAGTGAAATGGCTCTATCTAGGAAACATTTCGGAATAGGAAACATATACATATACATATACAGAAGTTTGCTTAGAATTGCCTATACTATGACTTCCCAGAATAGTGTCCTTGCCTCCTGGCACACTCTGTATACCCATTCCCCATACCTCTTCATGGCGTGTTGCTCCTCTGCACAGTGGACAGTGTACTGTACAGTGAAAGAGCTCTATCTCGGAAACCGTCCGGAATAGGACACATGTACATGTACAATGTCTTGCTTAGAATTACCGAGAATCTGACCTCCTAAAATATTGACCTTCCCTCGTGGAACATTCTGTATAATAAACTATTTACGGCGGAGTTTGAGATTACTGTATCACAGTGCTCGTTCAAAACTCAGTACATACTTGGTGCAGGCAGCTCTAATTACACTGGTAGACTCTTCTACCAACAATAGTGTCTACCATCATCTGTCGTTATTCTAATTAAAAATACTTAGACCGGTTTAGAAGAAGAGTTCTATGTTCTGAGATATAAGGCCGTGTAGTCCGTTGGAAGTCAAACAGGTTTCGGAGGAACATATTTCCTCAATCTTCATGGTAGAAGAATAAGCTAAGCAAGAAACCAGCGTAAAAGCAGATGGCAATCAGTTTCTACCTGCTTTCACGCTGACATCTTGCTTAGCTTGTTATTGCCGATTGACATGTTCCTCCGATACTCGGCTGACTTTCAACGGACTACACGTTGTTACATCTAGAAATCTTCATAAACATCGCTGTGAGGACCTCAAATACTGCTATTTAGAAGTTTCCTGAAACCATGAACTTTTATTTCTTTTAAATATTTTATGTTGTTGGGACTTGAGTACGCGAAGGGAGCCCACAGTATTGCACAGATTCTACTCACCTGAAGATCCTGTGATATCCATTGCCTGGAAGTTGCGACCTTTAATGACAGTCACTGTGAGACGCCCAGCAGTGGGCAGGTAACAGAGAGACAGCATTAGCTCGCCCAAGTCCACTTTATCCTGTAAGATGACAAAATCATGAGACACTCACGGCGGTGACTACGAAAAGTACTAACATCTGGGATGTGACACCGTATAGTCTGGTAGAATTTTACCAACCTTTCGGAGGTTTGTTGCGTGGTCATCTTGCTCTTCGACCCTGGAGATTAAGACTACGTTCCTCCGAAACATCGGCAAACTTCAACCAGACTGTACGGTGACACATTCCACAAATTATCTATCTATCTATCTATCTATCTATCTATCTATCTATCTATGACTCTACAGTCATTTTGTTGGACCTTGGCAGCTTTTTCAATTTCTTAATCCCATACGCAGTCAGTAGGACCCCTTGGACGGGGGATCAGCCCGTCTCAAGGCCACTACCTACACACGGGACAACACAAACAGAATAAACGCACACAGACATCCACGCCTCAAATGGGATTCCAACCCATGATCCCAGCGTCCGAGCGAGAGAAGACGGTTCATGCCTTAGACCGCGAGGCCATGATATAGGTCCCAGGAATTAATACTCAAAATTTGTTACATTCAATTCCCTTTCTATGAACGTGGATAATTCCACTTTAGTTTAATCGCCGCTTAATTAAGTGGCTTCCCGACTTAAATTTTCGAGGGAAATGCCAGTGAGATACCACAAACCTCAATTTTTCTTATGACTTATGAAGTTGCGGGCAGCCGACAAGAGGTAATCCTCCAGAAGGACTATCAGTTGAGGGAGTAACAGCCTGTCACAGTAAAAGATGCTAGAACATTCCAAAATGTTACACAGCTTTGGAGTTGGAACGACGAAACTTGATACAACACGGTAATTTTACGAAAAGTGGTAGGCTCTCGTAAACATGGTGATATAGATTCGCATTCCATAAAAGTCAAGTAGTTCCTTGAGTTTTGACATTTGTGGAAAGACCCTCCATATAACGGAGGATTTGTACTTACGTATAGAAATCAACAATAAATACAGTGTGGTCCCTTGTTCTGAAAAGCGAACACAAGTACGTACTAAATACCTTGTGTCAAATAGTAAACAAGAGAAATGCATGGACGAAAGAAGGATGTATTCATTAAGAAATTGAGAATATTACGTAAGGAAGATTTTAATAATGTTTGCCTTCTCGTAGTTTTGCTAACATAAAAAGTATACAATATTTACAGATGGACGAGAAAGAGAAATACATACAGAATTTTGGATGAGGAATATTCTGGAAAATTGTCACTTGCAAATAAAAAATAATATGAAGAAAATATTAAAATGAAGCTCACGGAAATTAAATGTTAGAATTTGAAGTAGACTGTTGTGGTAGAGTTCGAGTCCAATGACAAATTTTTGTGTTAAATTTTGTATTTAAGTTCATTAAATAGCACCATGTTCAAATCGAAGCACATAATTATCAGTAAAATGTATCAGATTCGATGAGATGTATACAATGTATGGTTTCTTTGTTTCAGATCTGGCATAAAGCATGTTATAGCACAGTGAAACTTCTTCACTTCTTCATAAAGCTGCCACGTCCAAGTCCCAGTTGTTCAAGTCCTGTGAATGAGGTGGCCACTCGTTAAGATAAGACATGCTAAAGATTCTGATAGCCGTGAAATGCTTACGTGTGTAAGGTGAAAGTGGACATAAAAGAACTATAATCATCCATACCGGAAGACTGAAGAAATTATCAGAATATGAATGAATATTTCTGCTGTCTTTTGAAATGATCTTCCTGGTTACGATTGGAGGACCTCTTCAAAAGGGTAAATAATGAGACCGTAATGGCTGTAATGTATAAGTGTATATAATTTAATTTTTGTTATCGATATGAATTTGTATTTTTTTTTCAGTATATTTGCGAAATGGCATTTGCTTCA